TCTATGATTTGAGAGGATTTAATTGGATCTGTAGAATCATTTATTCTTCTAATATTATGGGTAGCAAAAGTAAGTATATCTCCTTTAATTATGTTGTTTGATAAACTGTTATCCAAGTGAGAAATGTTTTTGTCAATTCTAGCAATGCTGTTTTGTCTGTTTTCATAAAATTTAGCCACTTGGTTATCTAAAAAGAAATCAACGTTATTGTTAAAAAAGAAAGTATTCTAGTTATCAGTAGGAATACTATTCATATGTGATTCACCTGGTATGAAGTATATTATAAACGACGAGCTATATGCCTGTCATTATTAGTAAATGTAAGAAATTAAGAATCTAATTTGGCAAAATAAAATTTAATTGAGTCCAATTCTTGGAGTTTAATTAGAATTAAGTCTAGAGAATTGGAATTGTTGTTAGTATTATTATTAGATGTCTACATTTTGTTTTGTTCCCCAGGTTGAAGTTGATACAATGTCAAATTGCCCATCTATACTATTGATAGGAAAAACTGGTAATATTATGATTGTATGAATTAGATAAACTTGTTTATAATTACACAATTTTATCTTCTTAAAAATTAAGGCGTTGGTAAAAGTACTTTGGGAAATTTACTTTTGGGTCGAAATGTATTTGATGTCTCGGATTCAGCTGTAAGTAATTTAGTTTTTTTTTTTTTAAAAAATAAAAAAATTAAATGAAATTGGAAATTTTTAAAGGCATCATTAACTCAAGGATATCAAACTGCCCCGATCGAAATAAACGAGAAAACGTTCACTGTTGTTGATACACACGGATTTTTTGACACAAACAGAACGAATCAAGAAATATTGAAGGAGGTTACCCAAGAAATATTACAATGCGTAAATGGAATTCAGGCTTTTATATTTGTTATAGGTTTGTAAAATATTAGCATCCTTCACAGTGTTGTTCAAATGACTGAACGGAAGCTTTCCCGCTTAGAGGCTACACGTTTTACCAAAGAACAGAGGGACATTATCAATCAAATTATCAACTTCCTTGGCGAAGACTCATTAAATAATATGATCGCGGTATTTTCAAAATGTAGAAAGGCTCCGACAATTAACCCTGACCAGCTCTTCAATTCATTTTCTCAGGAGGAAAAGGACTTTCTCAACCGTATCGGGAACAGATTTACTATCTCACCAAATCTCGAGATTTTTGACGAACCAAACGACCCAATTGTCGTGCGCCATATGACGAAACTTAAAGAATACATTGTCAATTTTCCAGACTTATATACAACAGCTGTATTTGAAAAAGTTTTAATGGCTCGAGAAAATGAGTACAAAAGAAAACGTGTAAATGCTGGGCCAAAAGGATTCCTTACTCATAAATTAATTAATGAATTAGAAGCATGTTTTGCCGCAGATTCAAAAGTTATTTTGAAAAATGGAAAAGTCACCAAAATTTCAGAACTTGTTATTGGAGACTACGTATGTTGTGGATTTGAGGACGGAAAGCAAGTTTATAGTGAAGTGTTTCTAATGATCCATGCCGACCCAAATGCAGTGACGAAATTTCAATCAATTGACTTTGTGAAACAAGATGGATCACAAGGTGATTGATTATATTTTAAATTTTAAATTTTATTTTTTTTCTAATCAACCGAATTTATAACATAAGGAAATCTTCATATTACCCCCGAACATCACATCTTCGTGAACAACGGTGAGACTGATTTCGCAAAAAATGTTACAACAAACACTAAACTTTTTGTTTCTGATGGAGAGAAATTTGTTACCGTGCTTCCAACTCGTGTAACAAAAGTTTGTGTTCATTTTGACAATTTTCAAGATGTTTCATAGTTGGAGATCAAATCTGATCACCTTTTTTTAATTTAATAAGGAACGAAGAAAAGGTTATTATAGTCCCTTGACTCGAAGCGGCACCATTCTTGTTGACGAGGTTCTCTGCTCTTGTTATGCTTCTGCACCGCCTTATCAAGCCTTGTTAAATTTTGTCCTCGTGCCATTAAGAATGTACACGAAAATATTTCCCTCTAATTACTTAGACAAAGAGATACATCCCTATGTAAAATTCTTATACAAGGGTCGCTGGATCATGGAGTGCCTTTAAATAAAAAGATACTTCTCGGAAAGATTTCTTTTTTAAAACTTTTGATAGAAAATAATTAAAGAATTTATCTGAATTCAAACTTCAAAATATGGCTACTTACTATTGTAATAAAATCGAATTTGTCGTATAATCTTGCATGTTCATTTAAAATATAATAAAAAAAAAGGGGGGGATGTGGGTCCGAAATCGATTACGAAACCTATTTTTTAGGTCATGTTCCGATAATTGATGAATAATGTTGCATAATCAACAAGCAACTAAAATCGTCATAGGATCCAATCATCCTTTTAAAATTTTTCGTTACACAACAATTCGGATATAAATAAATTATTATTGAAAATTTCCAAATAATTTTATATCTAAACATTCTTTTAATAAAGTTGTTAATCTTCAACTTCAAATTGTGCTAATTTAATTTGTAATTTAAGAGTTTCTAAGTCTATTACATATGATGTTAAAGATTGCTTAATGAATTTAACTCCTTAAGTTTCAAGTATTCATTAAATGCAAAAAGAAGTTACATAATGAAGGATTGTTACTAAACATGGATCTGAATCTATTTCATGTAAAACATATATTACTGAATTTGCATAATTTAATTTTCCTGTTACATAAAATAAAGGAGAAAATGCTTTTAAATTTTCAATTTGCATATCAAAATTTCCAGTTTGTATACCTATTTTATGACCCTTCCATAATCCTACTCATTGCCAATAATATGCCTAAACCTTTATAATTTTATTTTTAGATTTAATATATCTTTAATAGTAATTGAATTTATTGCCATATATAAATGTAAAGCTATTCCTACAATAATCTAAATTAAATCTAAAGTTCTTGAAGTAGCTCGATAGTCAACACATTTTTGAAAATTAGTTAAATATTTTGCATCAAGAGCAGCAGCTAAATTAAAAATTCCATAACCAGAAAAGATATTAATTAAAACTTCACACATATCCTTATTTAATGCTAAGGTCCTAATAATATTCTTGTATATAGATTTGCTATTGTTTTATAATTAACAATCTGTCTAAAAATTGATTCATCAGCTGAAATATCAAGACGCATTTGAAATTCTAAGTATCCTTCATTATTATAAACTAATATAGGTGTAAGATCAATATCTTCAAGATACATTTCACATGATTCATATATTCCTTTATTATTATTAGGCCTTTCTCCAGCTTCTAATATTATTATATTAGGAGGTAGAATATTAGTACATCCTTTTGAAATATATAATAAAATTTTTTGATGAATATTACTATCATCAAAATTATTAAAAAAATATAAAGATCCATCAATATATTCACATTGTAAAAATTGCTGAAAAACTACTTTAAATAAATCTAAAGTTTCTATTAAAAATGCATTATGACCAAATAATTTTTGCTGATAATTAGGTATTATTAATGAATTCTTTGAAATTATTGCATAAAGAGGAAGAGGTAGTGTAAACTGAAAAACTATCCTTAAAGTTGCATGTGAAGTATTACAAGGTGTATCATATAAATTTCCCTATCGAAATGATTTTGCTATAAAGTCAATATTATCAATTACAGCAAGATTCCAAATATGAGATCCATAAATTAGTTTTTCTTTTGAAAAAATTTCTTTCATTCTTTTTAATTCTAATCTACTTTCATGTTTTTGTGTATATGCAATTATATGGGCAGCTTGTAAAATAGCTTGTAATGAAAGTAAAAATGAAGGTCTTTGACAAAGACTTGCTAATAAATAAGTGAGCCAAAAATGTGTATGTTTAAATACTATAGTTAAAATTACAGAAGTTAAGAAAGAAACAATACGAATTGATTTAAATTTATCTAATTTTTGATATATAAATTCAGCTCCTTTTTGAATTGCTCTTCTTTTCCGTTGAGCTTGTGCATTTTCATGTTGTTTTTTTAATAATATTTCAATAAGTCCCAAAAAAAACTTTCTAATTATTTCTGGTAAATTATTATAATATTCTAATA